TTATGGTGATGGGATCACATCAGGCTGGCACCAGTCACTAGGGGGTTCTGCAGGGCTCCATCTTATGCCCAGTGCTCTTCAATATCTTCACAAATTACTTGGACGCAGGACTTGAAGGACAGTTAAGTAAATTTGCAGATGATACAAAATTGGGAGGAGCTGTTGACTCCCTTGAAGGCAGAGAGGCCTTGCAGAGAGACCTAGACAAATTAGAGAGATGAACAATCAGCAGTCATGTGAAGTTTAACAAGGGCAAGCGCTGGATTCTGCACCTGGGACAGGGCAACCCTGGCTGTAAGTATGAACTGAGGAATGAGATGCTGGAAAGTAGTGCCAGGGAAAGGGACCTGAGGGTCCTTGTTGATTGCAAGTTGAATAAGAGTCAGCAGTGTGCCCTGGCAGTCAGGAGGGCCAACCAGCAGTGTTCTGGGGTGCATCAGGCAAGGCCAGTCAGTTAAGGGAGGTTTGTCCCACTCTACTACATCCTGGTGTGGCCTCACCTTGAATATTGTGTGCAATTTTGGGCACCACAATATAAGAAAGATATTAATTTATTAGAGAGTCCAAAGGAGGGCAGCGAAGATGGTGCAGAGCCTTGAGGGGAAGCCATGTGAACAGCGGGACTCCCTTGAAGGCAGAGAGGCCTTGCAGAGAGACCTAGACAAATTAGAGAGATGAACAATCAGCAGTCATGTGAAGTTTAACAAGGGCAAGCGCTGGATTCTGCACCTGGGACAGGGCAACCCTGGCTGTAAGTATGAACTGAGGAATGAGATGCTGGAAAGTAGTGCCAGGGAAAGGGACCTGAGGGTCCTTGTTGATTGCAAGTTGAATAAGAGTCAGCAGTGTGCCCTGGCAGTCAGGAGGGTCAACTGTGTCCTGGGGTGCATCAGGCACAGCATTGCCAGCTTGTTGACAGAGGTGATTGTCCTGCTGTGCTCTGTGCTGGTGTGGCCTCACCTCGAGTCCTGTGTGCAGTTTCAGGCACCACAATATAAGAAAAATAGTAAATTATTGGAAAGCATCCAAAGGAGGCAATGAAGATGGTGAAGGGCCTTGAGGGGAAGCCATATGAGGCGCAGCTGTGATCACTTGGTCTGTTCAGCCTGGAGGAGACTGAGGGGAAGCCTCATCACTGTATACAACTTCCCCACAAAAGGAAGTGGAAGGGCAGGCACTGAGCTCTTCTCTCTGGCAACCACTGACAGGACCCAAGGGAATGGTCTGAAGTTGCATCAGGGAAGGTTTAGGTCGGATATTAGGAAACGAATCTTTACCCAGAGGGTGGCTGGGCACTGTAACAGCTCCCCAGGGAAATTATTACCGCACCAAGCCAGTTCAAGAGGTGTTTGGACAATGGTCTCAGGCACATGGTGTGATTCTCAGGGATATTCTGTGCAGGGCCAGGAGTTGGACTAGATGACCCTCAAGGGTCCCTTCCTATTCTGATTATTCTGTGATTTAGAGAAGTGATGCCTTCTAATAAAAAAAAAAATCTAGAATCATCTACTAATTGAAGCTCAGATGCTTTATGATGAGTTTCTTTAATCTAGTGAGACAGACCGCGCTCTTGTCTTCTGAAAGAAGAGGTTAAGTCCTTGAGAGTTTATTATTGCTAGACTAAGAGCACTGAATAATGGAATAATAGACAGCATTCAGGGAACGTGAGACATGTCTACAGAGTGCCTTGCAGCACCATGCTGCATTAAGAAATGAGTTGGTAATTCTGCCCAGCATCATGCTACACTAGCCAATGCAGAGGAACAGACTTGGATCACAAAGACACTGAAGGCTGAAAGAGTTCCCCACATCTTTAGGAAGGGCTCTGTTTGTGGAACTCAGGAGAAAACAGTCCGTTGAATCTGCATAGCACAGCACGGAGTGAAACTATTGCTATGTATCATAATGTAGATCACTCTGACCAAACAGACTTATATTACCAGATGTGGGAGTGCTCTGGAAGCTATCTGATAACGGAAACCTGCTCTGATAGTCAGCCCACTCACTTACCCTGTCATAAGACGACAGATTTGACAGATGGCACTCTCTTTAAGAGAAATCTCAGTGCTACATTGTAAATACACCAGCAGCTGCATTTTGAGAACCCTAAACTCAAAGAAGCCCTCCAAGGAGACTTGCTTTCAGCTACTTTTATGCAGGCTTGTGAGGAAAAGAAACCGCAGCTAGACAGTGGAAGGTGGCAGCAAACTGCAAGACATACCACAAAGTCCCACAAAACTACGCCCCCAAGGCAGGATTAACATTATTCATGTTCATATTAATCTGTCTGAAACGGATCCCATTTAAAACCTCAGCAACCTTTTCTAAAAAACTGCTTGGGGGAAAACTATGAAGAATGCAAGTCTCTCTCAGCCCATGGCAACAAGCCCAATGGCACTAGGCAGCAAAGGAAAGTGTGCAGATTACCCACTAGAGCCTGTTGTTTATGAAGAACAGATCACAGCAGGTTAAGTGCAGCATGGAAAGGGAATGGCATTTATGCTAAATACAGCATAACAGCAAAAAGGCAAAAGTAAGTCTTGGGAACAGAAACTGGTTTTAGTCATGTCCGATTTTGCACAACAGTTTGTGACCTAAGTTTATACAATTAATCAAATTACTCACATCTAACAAACATTCTTATGTTGCAAATAACTCAAATTTTATCTTCCTGCTTATATTACTCTGGTCTAAGTGCAGAAAACTTTTGTTATAGGAAGTAATATTCCACACAGACTGAAATATAAAAAAAGCCATTCCAGAGCAATTATATCAGGTCTGCTCCCATTTACAGTCATCCCATCATGCCTGCAATGCTACCACCTCTTCCATGCTACAAATCCTATCACATTTTCAGACGTGTAAGCAGCACTAAAAAGGGATTTGATAAGATCTTTGCAATACACAAATTCAACAATAAGAGAAGCAGCACACATGATGCATAGAAACAGTTATAGACAACCAGTGAATTGACAAATCTGCTCCTCTTCATGCAGTACACAAAACCTATTCTAACTAGTCATGCCTAGGAAAAGCTGGAAGCAAAAACTGTTTAGACTGTTCAACAAAATGCTAATTTTTATACATCCTTTTAAAAATCAAAGTTTAATTAATTTGGACCAGGAGCTAAAGGAAGTATTTGTCCCAAATGCAGGGCTGAAACTAGTTAGCTCCCTCAGACATTATTTTTCATTTGAATCTTACGCAAGGACAATGACCTTAAATGTTGCAATGTAGCTGGTTTGGGAGGTATATGGAATGCAGAGTATTTTTACAATCCAAGGAATTATATTAATTTCAGCTAATTCTAGTTACAAAGAGATCAGAGGCTTCCTTCAACATGCCAGGTAAAACAAAAGCACTTTAGTGTTCACAGATAGAACTGAATGGAGGAGCAATGTGAAATACCACTTGATTACCAGCTGAAAACACTATTTTTGTAAGCAGTTTCATGCTGCCTCTCAACTGGCAACCAGCACTGGCCAAGCAATGTGCAGGAAAAGTAGTCCAGGGACTGCTCCACAATCCAGAGGTAGCAACCTCTAAATAAACCTGTTTGAAACAAAGCTTTATCAACTACACTATCAGTCCAGCTTTTAGGATAAAAAATTCACCTGCAACCCTACTTTGCTCTCCAAGAGGTTGACAGACAGGTGATAGGCATTTGAAAGTCAGCTTTCTTTCCCCATTTTTTCTTTAACTGAAAAGTTTAACATGGAACACTTAGTTGGCCCACTGTGCTAGCTTTTATAAGCATTCTCCTCCAGTGTCAACATAGCCTGAGTTCTACATCAAAAAAAAAAAATTTCACCAATTGAAAGTGTAGTTAAACTGCAAGAAACTGCAGCCATCTTCTCTTACCCTCACCTTCCCAAGATGGTCCACACTGTACACAAATACAATGCTGCTCCATAAGAAGCATGCAAACTTGGCAGGATGGATAGAACTTATCCCAATTCACCATTAAGAAAACAAAATAAAAATACTCCCACACACCAGATAATGGGAGGGTAAGGCTGAGGAGAGGAATAAAATTTTTTGGTGGGTTATCACAAAAAAAAATCTTTCCTCTCCTATTCCCCCAGGCATGACAGAATGTTTGAACAAAACCCAAAGCTCTTTGCCTTTTTCATCTTTTTGAAGCCAATATTGATTGTATTTTTTAATTTATTTTTTTTACCTTCAAAAGATTTTGCAAACAATAACCAATGTATCCCACATTTCCTATGAGGAACAAGATGTCTAGAGCAGTGCTACATCTATTGCAGCTAAGGCAAAACAAAGTTCTGTAATTTGCCTAATTTCACGAAGTAGAGGTCATCAGGGTTGCAGGATTTTGACTTTTGAGATACATGCAAAACTGAGCAGACAGCATAACCCTCCTACCTGTTAGGAAACTGCCCACAAGCCATTTGTAACTGCCAGTTCAGTTACCACAGGGACACTACTCAATATGCTGGTGACAACAGAACCAAGTATCACTCTTCATTTCTACCCTGCTTTGGCAAACTTCAGCAAGTGAACAGTGAAGAATTAAAAACCCAAACCACAACAGGGCAGAGCACAAATACCCTGCCGATGGAAGAGGCTAAATTAGAGGCTGAATACTCTTTTGCTGGGATAGATGAGGCACAGGTAACTGCGGAATCAGCTGGGTCCACCCTGTTCCATGTAAGCTACCACTCATTTTACAGCTCCTCTTCATGAAAAAATTGACCTCCCCTGAAACTGTTTGTGTTTCTGTGCAATGCCGAAGGTTAATGCCATTCATTTCTGTCCTACTTCAGAGCTGGATGCTATTGCATATGTATGTGTCTTTCAAGGTATTGTGACTGAAGCAAAGCTTCCATTTGCTTAAACAATTCCCCAGCTTTCATCATTTGCATCTGAGTAACTGAGTCATAGTGTGCACTGGTGCTACTGTCATCACTTGGCTCATGCCTTAGCTGTGAATCTCCCAGACACCAGAAGCCTCGCTGAAGGAAGCAAACAAATTTTACCTGCGTGAATGATCCATCTTCATTGCATTCTGGGATGAAGACTGCTTCCTGGGGCTTCTTTGCCTGTTCCAGTGCTTGAGCTCTCTCTAATCGGCACTTGCTTTGGCCAGCATCTACAAGGAGAAAAGCAAAATGCATTTACATTGCAAGCATCATTTGGCCTATTCAAAAAGCTACCAGATGCACCACACAGATGAGAGGCAAAAAAATCCCATACAAATAAAGCATCATTACCATTATCTTCACAAGGCAGATATGGAGTTAGCACTCATGATCCCAAACACAAATATGAACCTAGACAATCAAACTACAAGCCAGTTAATGAAGAGCTGCCTAATTTCCTGGTCAATAGTTGACATGGTCATCCAAGGACTCTGGAAGCTTCTTTCACCAAGTGCTGGAACACAATGTCCATGCAGTGAAAGGTCTTTCTGAATGTGTTAACATTAACAGTCTGAAACTGGATGGTTGAGCATAAACCAAGTAATTCTAATTCAGGCCCAGCAGCGAACAATATGGAAGAAGGGATGGCCCCAGCAAGGCTTCTTCTCTGAGCAACTCTTCCAGTAAGATGCTAAAATAGCCAGTCACTCATCTGAACTTCCACTTTTGTGTGGTTCAGATAAGGTGGCTATGCTGTTTCCCTTGCTTTCCTGAAACTCAGCTTCTACCTCTAGTTCCAGTGCCTACAGCCTGGTGTGCATTGCAGCTTTCTGAGTTACTCACTTTGATGCTAAGAAAAAACATTGCTCTGCAAGCAGAGTTTGAACGGGTTAAGATCTCAGCTCTGCACTTACTTCAGATGATGGCACTGTGCAGCATGACCTTAATCCCTTCCAGGTCCAGCTCCCTGTTACAAAGTATACCCAGATAAGTCTAACACTGATGACTGATGGGTCAAAGAGATAGATACAAACTGTCTCAGTGTTTACATTTGAAAACATGAGGTCTAACAGTACTGCTGTTCAGTCTAGAAAGAGAAAAATAGCAAACATCTGTTTCCATGGCACTCTGACACACAGACTAGTAACTTCTTCCTTTTCCCATGAATCCACTGACTGAAAGATTTTCAGTGCAGAAACCGCAAAATCTGATCACTGGGATCTTTCAGCAGCACCAGAGAGTGACCAAGATTGAATCTGCATTCTACCAGGAATGAAAATCATACTGGTTAACAAAAAATTCCATGGGATCCCTGATGATCACATATTCAGCTTCACAGATGACATGAACTTTGACAACAGAATCACTAATACCAGCACTGAATTAGAAAAATCAATCTGGGTTTTCAGATCAGCTGAATTCACATTGCATGGCAATAGAAACAACTTCCATCTAAGCATATCAAGATAAGGAATCAATGACAATGCTGCAAGTAGTTTTGATAAAGACATAGACCAATGTTTTCAAGCAGAGTACTTTATTTACGTAACTGATGACTCAAGAGACTAAGTTTCCCGTTTGCCAACTGTTTCATTTTAAACATATCACATTTTTCCCCAAGAAGGATTTCACAAGTCTTCTGAAATTATGAAAATCAAACACTTCTCTCTGGAAAAAGTAATGATTCATAGCAATAGTATGCAGTACAGATGCCAGTAGCTTAGGCATTGCATTAGAAAGCAAGAATGCCTATATCAACTCTGCCACTGACCACTCAGTGACTACAAGTCTGTCACCTCACCTCCCTGTGACCTCATGTCCTTTCTGATCCCATGTCACTCATCTTTAGATTAATTTGTTTGTGGGGTGTTTGCACAATACCCTTAGGCCCACCTGAGATCAAAGCTCCATGTGCTATAATGCACCTGTATAAAGAGCAAGATTGTTACGGAATGAAAAGACTTGAATAAAATTTACACTATATTTAGAGAAGCAGTATTTATTTTTCTAGTTAGCCATGATATAACCTCTGACTTGGAATTTCCTTTTCCCTTGCTTGCCAAGTGACCAGATGATCAGACCTTGTTTACAGATCTCCAGTAGAGAACAGTCCTGCCAATTAACCCTTCCAACATGTGCTCTTTCTTTCAGCTGAAAAGGAAGCTCTGGCAATGCTGTTAACAGGAACACCTATCACCTGCTGATTGCCTTTTCAAGCTTAAGAGTCTAATCTTGCTTGGCATGGCACAGGACATTATTACAAAACCAGATGGTGTGGCTGCACTTTGTTTCATAGCTAGCTGTCTGACTTAAAACACATTCAACTTCAGCTTCACAGGAGACAACCAAGTAGCAAAAAAAGATAAAAATTAGCATAGATTGTGCACATATGGACTTGAGGAAAAAAATTGCTAATTTCTTACATGACAATCAAAGCACAAATTCCCAAATGAAAGTGTCTTCTAGTCTCTCCATCTGAGGATACAAGACCACAGACAGGCATATCCAGTTCCTCTCCTGAACATAAACCAGAAGCCTAAAGTACTTCCACAAAGCATCTACTTTAGTACTGGCCTACTCAACTACATGACTGAAACTGGATGCTTCAACACAGAACTGGTGGGCACAATGTTTTGTGGTATCTCCTATAGTACAAATACATTACGAGCCTAGACTCAGATCTTTGTCCAATTTGTCTAACGAGCAGAGAAACATGCACACAATCAAGCCCTTACTATAAAGAGAAGGTAATATAAACACATTACTGCTAAGGTGACTATGTCTGTCCTGACAATTTTAACTGGCCTTTATAGATTGAACTCTCTACTATCACTCAGCAGACCACACTGCTTAACACACCACCACTACACCACAGTGTTCAAGAGGTGATTGTTGTTGCAGCATCCTCTTCTGCAATTCAACCCTTGGCTCAAAGTGATGACGCCACAAATTGCTGCTGAGGTTCAAAGATGACAGTTTTTTCCCCTGTTCATGAACACTTAGGTCTGATCGCTTTTCCCATCCTCCCTTGTTGATTTCCAAAGGTCATCCTTTTACAGCCTTGACTTGGAACAACCACCACACTGGGTGGAGAGGTGTGTACATACTGCTATCTTTTTCATCTGTCTTTCACAGTTCAGTTCCAGTAAAAACAGTGCCTTTAATATCAACATTTATCAGTTTATTTTTAAAAGGACTGTCAATCCTTCTCTTCCTCGCTCCACAGCCTGGTATTTTTATAATGTTTGCACCAACATGTGATTTTAGTGGGATGACTTCACTTTGCTTTTTTTGCTTTGCTAATTAGAAAACGTAAAATATTACATAAGTGCCAAGCATTAAAAAGTAGCTGTCAAATAGCTCACCCCAAGTAAGATGCATGACAAATTTTACTAAGGCCTGATGTTATGATCATAGGTTCATACACCGTAGTCTGCATTTTGATTGCTTACCTGAGTGTTTCAGCAGTTTTTCTCCCCTTTTTAAAAAAATATTCTCTGGAATTTCAAACACCATGCTTATAAAACAGAATGGCATTGATGCATTCCAGTTTCACAGTCCAGACAAAATTGGACATTCTTCCCTCCCTTACATTAGGTGAAAAACCAAAACAGGATGACTTTTTTTTGAAAGCAGACCTGTTTAATAATTTTACTTTAAATATCTTCAAACTTCGGACAGATTTACTGTAGCTCAGAAAGCTGCCTTTTAAAGAAAATTAATTTTCAAGCTGGCAGCTGGCAACTAGGAGATTGTTAACTACAAGTGAAGCTTTTGACATCCCTGGACTAATCTGCAGAATGCAGGTGCACATAATTTTGGATTTTGCAATGAAGTTGGCTAGTTACCATGGCTGATCTTATCCATGAAGAGCTTATTCAAACAAGACCACCGTGTCCCTCATAATATATACAGTGCACTCCTGAATAGGCTCCAAGAATTCCAGCATCCTGTCTTCAACAGGCAGAGGCAATATTGACATCACACATCATGGTATAAAGACCCAAGCTATCCTAACAGCACAAAGTAAAACATCTCTAGCCATCTACATAATAACTCACACCAAATTGATACAATGCAACCACAGAAATTCTACTATATTTGTGTTAAAAGCTCAAAGGGCAAAAACTGATCCAGTTTAACTACTTCCAGTTCCATTAAGTAACTTTCTCACATACAGGCCAGTTCCCTACCAGCCATGAAGCAGTCCAGCTACACTGAAATCAGCAGATTCACATCCATTCACTCCAGCCAATTATTTGTGTCTTTGCACAAAACAGGCAAAAATGGAACCTGAGCAAACTACAAAAATATGCCCATGTGCTCTACAGGGTATCAATCACTCTCCACTCTCCACACTGTTTCCCATTTCATTTATGACAACTCCTACACCTAGAATCTCCAGCTTCTTTCATGTACACAGAATGGTTCAGGTTGCAAGGGACCACTGGAGGTCATCTGGTCCAACCTCTCTGCTCAAGCAGGGTCCCTTGGAGCACACTACTCAGGATAGTGTCCACATGGCCTTCCTGGCCACAAGGATACACTGCTGGCTCAGGGACAGCTTGTTTCTGTCAGGACCCTCAGACCCTTCTCCACAGAACTGCTTTCCAGTTGGTCAGCCCCAGCCTGTACTGGTGCATGGGGTTATTCCTTCCCAGGTGCAGGACCCTGCACTTTCCTTTGCTAAATTTCAAAAGATTCCACTTCCTACCCCTCCAGCTTTCTGAAGAGCTACACAGCATTCTGGGGCCACTCCTCCCTGCTTTGTGCTATCAGCAAACTTGCTGAGGAGGCACTCTGCCCCCTCATACAAGTCACTGATTAATAAGTTAAACAATACTGGGTACAGTATTGAATCTTGGGGGACACCACTATTGACAGGCCTCCAACCAGACTCTGTACCACTGATTACAACCCTCTGAGATCTGCAGTTCAGCCAGTTCTCAAACCACCTCACTGTCCACTCATCCAGTCAGCATTTCCAGAGCCTGCCTGTGAGGATATCGTGGGAGACAGTATCAAAAGGCTTGCTGAAGTCCAGGTAGACAACATCCACTGCTCTCCACTCATCTATCCAGCCAGTTGTCCCATTGTCTTCCTTTTATGCTGATGCACTTTGCTCCTTCTTTGATACCCACATACCATTTCTATTCCAGAGTTCCCTAATTTATTTCAAGCATGCCTAAAAACAGGCCTAAATTTGCAAAGTGATTGAAAGAGATATTTTAGATTTTATTGACTATCTGCTGACAAAGAGGCACATGCTTTATTCTCCCTTGACTTGGAAGAAGAAAGTTCAAAGACAAAACACATGGATCGAGCAAGTGGACTAAAAAGAACTTCAAAACATCATCTCCTGTCCCATGAGAATACTAGGTAGAAAAGAAAGATTATCTTCAAACAAACCCATCATTAGTGAGGAGATATGCCTTTCCAGTATATTAGTCAAAAGTTGTGTTCACCTCCTGTGTCCCAGGAGAAGGGCTGAAGTTCCCTCTTACAATTTCCACCAGTAACTCATAGAAAGGTTCATTCTACATAGTGACTTGCGATCTAAGCAGACTTTCCACATGATTGTAAACCTAAAGAAAAGTTCTTAGAACACTCCCATGCTGGTTCCTAGAAACCAGTCAGTTAACACAGAACTTAAATGTGTTCTAAGTCACAGATATCCAATATACCAATCACTGCATAAATGAGTCTTGGCAAGCTCTCAAGTATTTGTCCTTCACCCCTCAAAGTTTTGAGGTATAACTCTTACTTGACACCAGATCTTCAGATGCCTCCTGACAAAAGATCCAGGTAGGAGTGCTTGGCTGTGTATTTTATGTACAGCTACACCATCTGGAACTATTCTCTAGAATCTCATCAGTGAGGCTCCATTTATCATAGAAATCATAGTTCGATCATTTTAAGCTACTCCTGACTTTTAACCCTTTGTGATGTGTGTGAGTTTGGAGGGACTTCAGATAACTTAGCACTGAAGGAATTTTGTTGAAAAGCACATGAGAAAGCTAGCAAGGAATGAGGGCTGAATAAGGGTTATAGTTCCCAAAGGGCTGGCAAGATTTCATCTTTAAAGGTCCTTAGTTTCTTGAGAGAGAGCAGAGCACTAAGTTGAATCAGAAAGGTTCTGTTCTCACTATGGAAACCATTCTGTTTACCTTGGCACAAGCATAGTTCAAGTCATCAGCATATGACAATGGAAGCTTATGGTAAACTGGGATGCAGAACTATGCCTTGCTCTCTCTTTTACTAATTTCAGTTACCTGTTGCTTATCTCCCTCCAGAGAAGGAAGCACAAGTTAAAATTGCTCATTTCATATGGATAAATTCTTGGATACAACTACCTGTGACTGAGCTTGATGGCCCATGGGATCCCTTACAGTTCTGTAGGAGCTCTCCTGTAGATCATCTCTGTCATGTAGGGGGAATAAAGGCTGTTCATTCCTCCTGCATGGGTAGGAGGGTATGCTGGTGCCCTACTGCAGTAGAAGGTGCTCAAACATTGCTGGTGATACCTTTCCTTGTGCAAGTACACAACACAGACTTGGCCAACCACACATAGTTAGGCACACCTGTCTCAACTGCCCATATTTGCCAAGAACAGTCACCTTTATGCACAGACGTCATATTTCTAGTGATACTAGAAAACCAAAATACCTTTTAATAGCAGCACACATGGAAATTAGCAGCAAGCTTAAATTTGCATATGATAGTTTAAAGAATATTCCTACTTCCCAGAGATTCATGGGAGCGTTAGTGGGTTAAAAGCAAGACTTGCAATTTTCAAACACTTCCAGGTTACTTGGTACTGTATACTAGCACAGGGTAAGAGGAAAAAGGAAACACAGGTAGCTGCAGCTAAACATCTCAGCTGTTTCAGAGAACAGAAAGAACCAATGCTATACCTGTACTCAAGACAAAAGCCTTAGTTACTTCTTTAGGACTCTTTGCAATCATAATATACAGTAGGCTGTGTAGGCTGGCAATCAACATTTTCTCCATTTCCAGAAACACACATTAACATATGGATGTACTGCATTTCAGATGTCATGTTCTGGGCGATTAACAGTGCCAGCTTGTATGCCAGTGTCAGCTATGGAGCTGTTTATCTAAGCCACTCTGCTCAAGGGATGAAAGCAAAGACAGGATTCCCACCCTACCACTTTTTATTGCGATACTCGAAAATGCACCACTTGCAAGAACAGACCAACTACTTCTTGGGCTCTGGGAAGAAACCTTCTGGGTTTCCAGTACTCAGAAATCAGCCTGATCAAAAGGCCTTTATCTATGCTATGAGAAAGAAGTTGCCATAAACCAACTTAGCAGCGGTGACAAACAACAAATCATACAAGTAAGCTTTTATCCAATGAGAAATTGTTTAAAAGAGCAGTATTTGAGGTCACACTCATAATTCACCTAAAGTCTGTCAGTACATTGAAAAGGGATTTCCATTTTAGATCTAGAAATTCTGACAAAGACATTTTTATAATAGTAAAAAAGCCTTCATAAGCAAAAGTCAGGCTTAATTGTATATCAATATACCCTTTCACATGGATTTTAATGAGTTTTATCTGTCACTTTACCAATTGCTAAAAACAGCTGTGCCATCTGCCCTCTGAGTCAATTGTGCTCTCAGAAAATGGACTCCACTTGATTTTTCACCTAACTGCAGAAGCAAACCATTTCTGGGGTAAGACACCTTTCCTTTGAAAAGTTTCAGCTTCATCATTAGACTATGCTGAAGGACTAAATTGAGAGAAACAGTATCTGCATTTCCAAGTAGATGTGTAAGAGCAAAGAGGCATAAAAAAAAAGCCACGTAAAGCCCTTTACGCACTCCCTTCTTAACTGGCCCAGCGCAGAAAGGCTGAACATGTCTGAAAAGGACCAGACATCTAGTTTGCATCCCACGTTCTTCCCCGCTCCCTATTCCTATCAGTCAAAGGTATCTCAGCTCCTCATCAGCACAGGCAGCAAGGGAGAAGTCTGCTTTCAGGATTTGATTTTGCACTTCCATGGGACCAGTTGCTTCTGTCTGCAGACATATTTCAGCCCTTTTTCAGTTATGTCTGTGGCTCCTTTGCCTTCTTTCATTGATAATTCGGTCAGCTCTTACTCTGCTGTCTAAAGTGCTTGCTTTGGGTGCTTACTTAGTGTTCACTCTGCTACCAAGACTCACATACCCACGCTCATATGAATGCACAACTCCACATCAGATTATTCACAGAGCATGGTAATAAATTCAAGAGTCTAAGAATTCAGTTTCTTGCAAGGTAGAGCTCCCATTTCTCCTCTCAGAGGCATCTGAAATACACCTACCTTTGCATCGGCCACGATGTGTCACACTCAGACTTGACTCACGGCATTTGGCTCTCTGGTAGTCGCACATTGACTCGTATGTTCTGCCATCAGAGGCACAGAGAGGTTTGGACTGGGACCTGGAGCAATGCAGGTTACACTGAGGGTCTCTGTCACGGTCGCTTATTAAAAACTGAAGGAAGTGAAAAAAGGAAGGAGAAAAAAAATAGTGGGTTTGTTTGGTTTCCCAAAACAGAGCATAGTGTATTTTGGTTTTATGACAATAACAATATGGCCTATAATGAAGTTTAAGCTGCCTACCAAAGCTGACTTAGCCCAAAGGGAATTTCAAATGAAACACGCACATCTTTTAAAAAAATTAAAGGGTCTTTGCCATGCCATTTTCTTTAATAAAACAGAAACATTACTCACTCTGCCTCACCTCTAAAAATGTAAGATGTGCAAAGCCAAACATAACCTACAAGGGAAGGGCAATACTGAGTCAGAACAGTCGAGCTTGCACAGTGCCCTTGCTACAAACAGTATCTGCTACCAGACAATTTTATTCAGAGGCACTTGAAACTTATTACCAAGGACAGAGAAACTCACATAACCTATCAAGATTGGCCTTGGTAGTTGAATCATGCACGTGGCCAGCTTTATTAATCACGTATCGTGATCAGTTATTTGTTTTTAAAGCATTGCTTATGTCATCTGTGGATACACCACCTGCAAGAGCATACCTGCACACTCCCAAAGCCACCTTTTGCTCCTTCCTAATGACATCCAGCACAGCTGGCAATTGCATTCCATGCGTCCCACAATCGAATTGCACACTATGTGGAAACCTATTTCCTTTCAGAAGTTTGAATTTGTCATCTTTCTCAACTTCTCTTCCTGAGCATTCTATTAGCACACAACCCATTTTGTATAAATGTGGCACTTCATGCCAGTCTCCTAATTTGAACAGCCCCAGCCTCCCAGTTTCTTGCCCAGACCACTTTGTCAATATCACAGTCACTGCTGTTTCCCTGCTCTGAATACAGCTTGGCTTCTGCCTTATTTTTGCTGATGGGAAAACCCACAATGCACATGAATGAGTCCTCATCTTCTGTCTGCATGTTCCCTGCAAATCCTAACATCTGGCAGTAGTTTACTGCTGTAACCTGAGCTGCCTTATAGGAACACCCAGGTCTCCTTTCCAAGTTCATATTGTCTTCCTGAGGACACCAACTGACAGTTGTTGTTCCACAACCACCAGCATAAAGTTCTGGCAAGACATAACAGCAGTGGCCCTTTTCACTTCCCATTCTACTCTGCTTAGTAGTTACTCAGTCAGAGCTTTAACTATTACCCAAACTCAACCACCTGCTCACTGGAAGATTTCAGGGGACCCTTGAAACAAGTTCCATGAGGATTAAGCAAAGAAAAGAGAAGTTAAACCTGCCTTGCACCTTCCCTTCCAAAGCTCCCATTTCTAAAGCCTCTCACAAGCCTGAGGGGACCAGAGCTGCTCTCCAATACACTGATATCCCAGCTCGCTGTCAAAACAGTTATGAGCTCAGCAGCTCAGATCTGGCTGGCAAGTGGGCACTGACTGACACCCTGTCTGTGTGCACAAAGCCACAGCTCTCCAAGTGTGTTGATGGCTGGATGCCTTACAGGGAAGTGTGAGTCACTACCATAATCACCTTGGTGTTACAGTTTCCTACAAAGCTGTCTACTCTATACTTTGAGGTTAAAAATGTTGAAAAAACATAGCCTGAAGCCTAGTTTGAGTTGGTTTTTAGCCACTCTGAGAAAACATATCTCTGAAATTGGGTTGTTTGGTTTCTTTGGGTTTTTTTTTTTTACATTACAAGAAATTCTTCACACCCCTTATCTCCCCAATTAAATGAAAAACAATTGATAAGTTGCATATTTTCATGCAAAAGCATATTCACTCTGTACTGCTGCATCTTTTGAAGACAGATGCATTACTAAAAACCCTATTTAAACATGACAGCTGTGAAAACTAAGCAAGGTTTGCAATTTGTTTTACTTCTGGTGGAGCAAACTTTTTTGAAAAAAGTCATCTGTCACAGACTCGCCAAAATTTGTACCAGCACAGTGTTTTTAAAATGTTTTTGTTCCTTTTCTGCAACACTTGCCATAACCTGGCAACACCTGTTCCAAATGGGAAATTGGAAAATTTAAACCTGAAGGCAATTTTAAGTGGTTTATAGAGACCTGGACTAGACTATAAAAACACTATAAAGCTGGACCAGATTTTTTTCTTTTCAGGGGTTGGACTGTCACAAATTAGCCTGGAATTGCTCTGGCTGCAGTAATGTCTTTCTGTAACCCCCAAAATGCAAAGATCACCAGTGACCATCAACATACATCAAAAAGGAGTAGACTGAAGATGCTGAAGCCTCCTCTCAGCATGTGATGTCAGAGATCCTGAAAGATTCACTTTTCAGCTGTCTATACGGACAAACAGACTTTAAAAACAGAGCTGCCTGATAGCACAGTAGGGTGCACATATAGCAATTCAATATTCAGTTCAACACAGAAGCCATTCTGGTTTAAAAGGAACACACACATCTCCCATTTATCACAGCTTTGAGGCTTGAGCTACTGGCATGAAACTTCTTGCAAATTCCTTGTGTCAAAAGCTGAGTTCCACAGACCAGAGTTACCCAGAGGTGCAACAAAAAAGCTAGAACACTGGTTCCCAGCATCAAACCATATTACCAACTTATTGAAAGTCATCTTGTGTGATGAAAACTTATTTAAGCCTTCTGCAGCCTGCACCAAAATACTTAGTATAGAAGGGCTTCGTGCACCAGGAACACCCCTTCTTCCACAAAGGGCATCTCTAAGAACAGTAAGTTGTTCTCAGAGCTGACAAAATGAGCTAAACCTAAGGCTGGGGAAGAGCTTTCCTCAGGTGCCTCTCCTCATAGACGGAGAAATAGCTTGACATTGATTAATTACGAGGGCCTGAGAAAACATGCAGAGCACCCCAATGCAGTCTATGAAGTTCTTGCCTACCCAAATTAAGCCAAGAACCATATTATTACAAAGAAAAAAAAAATCAAAGCCTTTTTAGCATTTGTAAGTTGGATTACAGTAGGGAGCCCACACAGCATGTTAGGTGCTTTCCAGACACTGAAGATGCCAGACCTGCCCTGCCAAAAAAGTTTATGGTTTACGTAGTTGCACAAGATGGTGCTTGTTTTGTTCGGGTAGATTGTAACTGTATTAGGCTGCATTAATTTCAAGACAGATTCAGGATCATGCCTGTCTGATCAGGGTTCTTCTCACGCAATCAAACAGCACTGCCAGAAAGGCAGGATCTTCTGCAGATACTACTGAAGGGTTTCAAAAGTCACCCTTACAGTAGGACACCTGCCCCACAGCCCATGTGAGTTACAGCCCTCTGCTCAGCAGCTCTGCCAGTTTTCAGAGAGTAAAATGTTGGTCTTTGTCCCATTTCTAGCTGGTAAGCATTCATCCAACAAAGCAATGATCAATACAGACCATCCAGGGACATTTAACATCCTAGCTGGTTTGAGTGTACATCCCCTTCTGCCCAGCACATTAAGTCTTTCTTCTAGCACTTTGCCTGTTCATGACAACTGCCCTCCTTTGTAACCAACCTCAGCTACATACAGAAAAACATTGGATGAATGCCAAAATGTGTCTGTCATGGAGAGACCACTTGGATCTATAATTTTAGCAGCTAGGACTACAATCCATACGTCACTTCTCCCCAGTCCTTGATTCCTACTTCAAGCAGGCAGGCAATGCTTTTCTAGGGGCACAGCCCTGCTCCAGAAAAGCACACCGGTCACTGCAGGAGATAGCACTGAGCCAGGCAGAGGGCTGTGAGCAGAATGCACAGGGCACCCTGATGCCTGGCTACTCACCCTCCCCAGACAGCCAAGGCAGTGACATGATTGTCCAGTCCCTTCAGGGGAAGGGTAGCAAGGTAAGTACTCTGCCTTTAACACCAAATGTCCCATGATGACCCTTGAAGCTCAAATCGAAACTTGATGTCCTAACAGCTTCAAGATACACACACAAACAGGGTTTGCAAACAACAGAATCAACACTCACAGAGCAGTGCTTGGTGCTCTACACACAGACAAGCAATGTGAGCAGGTCTGGACTCAGGGAAAAAGTAACCCTGCAAACGCGTGCAGCACCAGCAGGTTTCCAAGCTTCATCAAGAAAGAAGTGAAAAATTATCTTAGCTCTGAAATTTCTCAAAGCTTCTTCTTGATATCTGTGTTCCCATTTGTTTCAGAACAGACTATACCCAAAGCAAATATAATTGGAGACAGCTTATCAGTTATCTACTCCCTTTTCCTCCATGAGAAAAGAGTTACAAAAAATAGATCGGAAAGGAGAAAAAACAAAACAAAACAACCAACCAAAAAACAACCACACACAAGAAAAAGTCAACCCACAAACAAAAACCCACAAAAACTAGAAGGAACAACCTGTTTTCCAGGAAAAAGTTAAAATTGACCAGATTTCAAATGTGATCCCTTAAACGTAGACTTAATACTAAAATAAGCATAAGTAACACTAGTAGTAAGCAACTGTATTTGTACCTTGGTAGCATTCATTTACATTAAAGAGTCTGCACAGCTCCTACACCACTCAGTTTGAGTCAGTGCCCTAAAGAGCTTCCAGTTCAATGCAGCCCTCAGAGCATCTTTTTATGTCAAATGTTCTGTCTGTACAAGGACACAAACCTCTTCCTTCAGCAAATACATTTACACAGGTGCTTGCAGAAACTACTTCCCAAACTGCTTTCTGCTTCTTCAGACTTGAAAAGAAAAAGGAAAGATAAGAGGTCAGAATGAAGTTAACTTTGGCAACAAAGCATATCTGTTCTTTTTCTCCACACCTCAACACCACTGCTGACAAACAACAAACACTGATTAAAGGGTTTTAAATGCCTGTGAAGGAAAGCAGACTCCCTGCAGCTGCACAGCAGCTGGGAACACTTGTGTTATTTAGCAGAGAAAGGTCTGACCCCACAAGTGAAAATGAGCTTGGTGGCCACTCATTCTATTCACCATCTGGGTACATTATAAGCACAAACAGAACAGCATAGCCCTTTGTGACAGAGGTAACGGGAAGTGGCCAAGGCATTGTAGTACCACAGTAACATGCTTTGGCAAGGCTTTAGGGAAAAGAGGGAGCAAGGGACACAAATGACACGAACGTGAGAAAGTGGAAGTCTATTAACAAACAGATCTAGAAGACAAGAGATCACTACAGATCAAAACAGAGGTGCCTCTGCTACTTAGCAGCTTCACTTCTGATCAGTACTGCAGACTGCTGCCTAACCAAACTGAGATAGAGAAAACTGCACATGCAATACCTTACTTCTGTTTTGGCAAATTTCAAGTTTGAAGACCCTTAGAATACATCCTGGGAAAGTGTGATTGATCTAGGTATATTCACATGGCACAGATCATCCACTCATTTGTCTAAGCACTCAAACTAGCCTGATTTAACTACAAATGAGTGAGTCCTTCCCAGAGAGAACTCCCTGGGAAAACCACATCATTTTATACATTAAAGGAGACCATAAACTTCTGGACATTTTTGCTGCTGTTGGAAAGCATCATTTCACATTTTTATGCCTTGGTTTCAGGCTCCAAACTGGTGCAACCAGCCATTCTGGAGGCAGAGCAGGAGCCAAGTCCCAGTTTTAATCACAGCTAGCCTCTCAGCCCTGTGGCAGGTTTCCCACAGGGCACAAGGACTTCAGCTTCAATCATTGGTTTTGGACTTCAGCCAAATTTCCCACCATGCATCCAGAAGCCTAGTAGGCCTCACAGGGGTTAGAGATCCTGTTTGAGCTAGAGACCCCAAATGCCTGACTTTTAGGAATACAAAGAGGAAAATTTGAAAGCCTTAAACTCTGTCAGAGAGAGGTCTGTCAGGACATGCATTCTTCCATGTGGAGAAAGATATTGTTGTGGTCAGCAGCTCATTGTCCACGTGGAGGCCAATGATGAGTGGTGTCCCTCAGGGGTCAGTGCTGGGGCTGATATGTTCAACGTCGTTGTCTGCAACATGGACAGTGGGATTGCAAAGAGGAAAATTTGAAAGC